CTCTCCCCCTTCCCCACCCCGCTTAAAGCCGGACGCCGAGATGTGTGCCTGCAGAGGGGCTGCAGAGGTCGGTCAGGGCCGGTGCGGCCGGAGATCCCAGGAGGGACGGTTCGGAGGACGTTGGCTTTTTGATCTGCGTCTGGTTGTGCTGCACGTAGGCCGGGGCAGATGTGGACGCGACCTGGCCGTGGCGGTGTCTCCGGGGCTGCCTGGAGCGATGGCCCCGCCCTTTGGGCTCAGTGGCGCTCTTCTTCCTTTGTCAGGTTTCTCTTTCTTTGCTCATCCAAAGTGGTGGCATCACCGACTGTGCTTCTGGTTTGGGCAGCTGGTAAACCGTTTAAAGGTGTCTCGGGCTCCGATGATATTGCATTCTTAACGTGTGTGTGCTCCGATCGAGTGGACTTGGTGCTGTGCGTCCGCCTCAGAGCAAGAGGTGTGAGAGAATCCATTGGTCCTAAAATGTCAGTGTTTGCTGCTCGCCGGGCGGGGCCCTTCTGGTAATCGCTCGGAGGCTCGAGGCCCGATGAGAGGCCCGCGACCTGTCGACTCTTCCCTGTGTGTGTTACCGGCTCCTTGTCACGCTAGGAGTTTGAATCTATGTCAAGGGATTCTCCAGGCTGCAACGTACAAGAAAGGCGCAAACATGAATGCATGTCGCTTGTGATGGGGGGCCTTGTTTGGCTGACTTTCAAATTCAATCGAAAAACAAACCAACACACCTCATTGGCCCTTGTGAACTCCACACTTTTTCCCTTTTGTGGGGCAAACTTTGCATTTCGGTCTTGGTTTTTTTCCCTTTTGAATCCCCCATAATGCATTATGTTTGCCCTTCCTTGTAGGGTCAGCCAGGAGAAAAGGGAAAGACCAGCCTGAGAGTCGGCGCCCTGGACCTTTGCCGGCCTCCCCTCCTCCTCAGTTGCCCCGCAACCCGGGGGAGCAGGCTTCCAATACTAACGGTACACACCAGTTCTCACCAGCGGGGTTAAGTCAAGACTTTTTCAGCTCATCCTTGGCAAGCCCCAGCCTACCCCTGGCTTCGACAGGAAAATTTGCACTAAACTCTCTCCTCCAGCGACAGCTAATGCAGTCCTTCTACTCCAAGGCCATGCAGGAAGCAGGAAGCACAAGCATGATTTTTTCAACAGGTCCTTACAGCACAAACTCCATATCTTCCCAAAGTCCATTACAACAAAGCCCAGATGTAAATGGCATGGCCCCGTCCCCCAGCCAATCAGAAAGTGCTGGGAGCGTCTCCGAGGGCGAGGAGATGGACACTGCAGAAATCGCCCGGCAGGTCAAAGAGCAGCTGATCAAGCACAATATCGGACAGCGCATCTTCGGACATTATGTCTTGGGACTGTCGCAAGGGTCCGTGAGCGAGATTCTGGCCCGGCCCAAGCCATGGAATAAACTGACGGTTCGCGGCAAGGAGCCATTCCACAAGATGAAGCAGTTCCTCTCCGACGAGCAGAACATCCTTGCTCTTCGCAGCATCCAAGGCAGACAAAGAGGTGAGAGACCAGTGTGGGTGGGCGCCCGCGAACAAGCCCGTCACAGAGTTGTGTGCGTGCGTGTGTGTCCATGTGTGTGATGAAACATTTGCACCTCACATCAGGCAAAATTCTCTTCCATTCTTCCGCGCCCAGAGCTCAAGGGTCACCCGACATGCGCTAAGACTGTTAGACTTGGGAGGTCTGACCTGGGAAACGTGCTCGTGATCCTGCACTTAGGGAATTCAGAATTCCAATGCCGTGTACCGGCTTGGAGGGACTGCATTATGCGCAACGTCCCGGCAGGCTTAGTGCCAGGGATGCCGCCGGCCTCGCTTTGCAGGGGGTGTGGGGGGCCCATCGAGCCCCGTTGCAGCAGCATGCACTGGGCTCGATCCTCGGCAGAGCTGACTCTGTAGGGAGAGCACAGCCCAGACATGGCCTCTCCTCTTCCCACTCCGCAGAAAAGAGTGGGTCCTGTGATCACCTTCCCTGCAGCCTGTACATCCCATTAGAGATTGGTTTGACATCGTGAGCAAAGCAGACCCACCTTGAGTAAAATACATGAAAAGCGTATTCAGATGTCCTTTCTGCCCCACCCTCCATGAAAAGACAGAACGTCAGTCACATTCATAACTTAAAGGATTCCTTCCCTCTTTAAAAATGGGACCAGTTGGCTCAATCGACAGGGCCATAGAGAGGTCATTTTATCAGCCACATTTGAAACATTCTGAAGTTTAGACTCAAATGAAGAAGGGAGAGATTTTGAATAGCCTCAGTGTGCACCAAGAACGTGGAGCGTTTTAAGGTGATGTTAACCGAAATCAGGTGTCTTTGGATGATTAAAATGAGCTCTGTTCTGGGGGCTGGTGGGTGAACTGGAGGCAGTTCCTTCCCTCCGACCCTCTTGGCGTTGACGCCTCAGGCCACTCCACGGCTAGGTCTGTCTGGTCCTTCCTGTGGGCCAGCCAGCCAGGGAGAGGCCTCTCAGAAATGTCTCGTAACTCCCGAGTTGCACAGGAAGCCCTGAGCCCTTTCTTTAGTGACGGGCGGCTCAGCTTTCACGTCCCGCAGCCCATGTCGTCAACACCACCGTTCCCCTGATGGTTTTGTTCTTACCACACTTGTTTTTCAACAGAGAATCCAGGCCAGAGCCTGAACAGACTATTTCAGGAAGTACCGAAACGACGAAGTGGGTCTGAAGGTATGTTGCAGGCAGGTGTCTTTCTTTGCAGCCAGTAACCTAGGAGGCAGCGTGTCTTTAGCCGGGTATTGGGGTATTGTGCAGTGTGATTCTGGCCTGGAACCTGGTGGAAAAACAGAGCTAGTAAGTATAAAACAAGGCACGGGTTCAGGCCCGCCCAGCCCCTCCCTCCCGAGCTGCCTGCACTCTACCGAGTGCAGACGGGGTGAGAAGGGGTGTCGCTAAGTCAGTCCCCTTCAGAGTCCAATCACACTTTGCCCGTTTTCTCAGAAGCAGGAGAAAGAATAACAGTTGTTGCTCTGAGAAACCAAGTCAAGTGACCAAGTCAGATCAGAGACTGCGGCTTCCTCGTGCTTCTACCTTGGAAACACGTTCAAGGCCCTACGGGGCGGACAGATTCCAGATCCAGTCGGTTCTCCCGCAGGCCTTGGCGCGCCAGCCCCGCGGCACTCCTTGGAGCTGCATCTCTGACGGGGCTTTGTTTCAGTCGCATACTTGCTTTTGAGTGGTTGAAGGTGGTGGTGCCCATCTGGGAAGTCAGGGGAAAATTAAAATATCCGGATGGCTTCCAGAAAGTGCTGGGGCCGGCCCCTGGCCGTGGTAGCTTCATTTCGTCTGCACGTGTGGCTGCTCTGTAAAGCATCACCATGTGACTGTAAGAATGAATTCTGGTCCTTCAGGAATTTCCGCAGGCTTCGTTCTCCGTTCATAAATTCTTAAAAGACATTATGTGGTAATAGATTCAAAATTTTTAAGTTGAGCCTACGTCTCTTCCCCTTGTGTGTCCAAGTGATTGACAGCTAATCGGCCTCAGCCCTGTGCCCTCCTTTCCCGCTTGTCCTGTGTGGGGTGCCAGCCTCCAGAGCCTGAGTAGAGTCCCGGGCCACCACGGTTGCTAGAGTTGCTTCCAAATGACTCGTGAAAAACGTTGCCTTCCAATCGTTCTCTTTCTTTATGCTGCATTAAGTGATTGGTTCTCCTGAGTACTAACTCAAGGGTGTGATGCCCAGCTCGAGTAAATGTGAGAGCTTGTCCCACTGGCAAAATAACACTGACCGTGAGCCAGACGCGGCAGGAAGCCCTTGCTGCCCGGTGTCTCGGCACGCACTGTGAAGCTGCACCCGCAGCAAAACCAGGCCGGGGGAGGCCACGCCTGCCTCCTTTTCCGTCACCAGCCTCCACACAGGGCTATTTGTCAGAACGATGTCTTCGCGCAGCGCTGCTTGTTAATCCCGCATTTGGGTTTGATGTCACTGCTGTGACTTCTCCCTGCAGGTAACATCACCACCCGGATTCGAGCCTCGGAAACTGGCTCTGATGAAGCCATCAAGTCCATCCTGGAACAAGCCAAAAGGGAGCTCCAAGTGCAGAAAACTGGTACGGCTCCCACTCCTTCAGCCACTCTCTTCCACGCTCATTAAAAAAACGGCCACACAATGGGCTCAGTGGCTCAGCCTGTAATCCCGCGCCTTGGGAGGCTGAGGTGAGTGGATTGCCTGAGCCCGCGGGTTCGAGACCTGCCTGGACAACTTGGCGAGACCTCATCTCCACAATAAATCAAAATATTAGCCAGGTGTGGTAGCGCGCGCCTGTAGTTCCAGCTACTTGGAAGGCTGAGGCGGAAGGATCGCCGGACCCCAGCAGGTGGAGGCTGCGGTGGCTGGGAGCGGCCACTGCACTCCAGTCTGGGTGACAGAGTGAGACTCCAACTCAAAAAAAAGAAACAGCCACGACTGCTCTGGTCAGCAGTTGTTAACTTTTTTAAAACAATAACGAACGTGTGTTTTCACACATATAGGCACATACAGAGGGCAGCAGGTCTGTGTGACCCGTATTTTGCTCGTAGTCACCTGTCTTCTCACGGTATCATTCTCTTGCCTTGAGTCAGTGCCTAGCATCTCCTTAACTTAAATTACCAACCAGTCCGCGTCAAGTGTATTTTTTAAATGCAGTGCAGGCTTTTGTTATTTGATTATTATCATACTTGACCAAATGTAACTGAAAAAGAACGGGCAAAAAATAAATCCTTAGCAGCTGCTTCACGGAACTGAATGTCCATAGCATTGCCAGGTTTAGACATCTCTGCAGCGGGAGCTCAGGAGTTCCCTAGGAGCTGCACTTTGTGAGAGGAAAGGACACCTGTGTTGCAGCTTCTCTCTGACCGAGCTCAGATTATTTGAGAGGAGCGCCATGGTGCACGCTCAGATCAGACCTTGTGCAGGCAAGGGAACTGAGTGTCTGAGTTCTCTTCCTGGGGTTCAGCACATAGACACCCCTGCCTGTGCCCCTGAAGCCCATGCTCTGCCGATCCCTCCACTGTGGATCTGGTCTTGGGGTTCCTGCCTGCCTGGCCTGGCGGCTGGCAAGCAGAACAGCTGAGCACGAGCCACCAGCTGACTACTCCCCTCCAGGCCCGCTCAAGCTCCACTCCCAACATGTGTGTCCTTCAGTGGGTGAGCTTGTTGATATTCCTTTCTGGGTACCAGGCCTGAGCTGGGCCTTGTCACCTACTTTAGCTTGCTCAAACTGAGTCCTCGTCACCTGGAAGATGGGTTTTGCTGATTTTCCAGCTCACCCTTGAGTTAAAATAATTTGCCCAAATCCATTGAATGGTAGACGCTTGATTTGGGGAGCAGGAACAGAGCCAGGAAGGCCATAGATTCCTGAAATGTCAGAGCAGGAGCATCTCGAAGCAGCTTTTGGTCAGGGTCGCACTCCATGGTTACCCAGAGCTGGTGAAAAATGCAGATGCTGGGCCAACCCCCGTCTTCCTCCTCAGACACCACAGGGTGGGGTTGTTTTTTTGAGTTGGAGTCTCACTCCGCTGCCCAGGCTGGAGTCCGGTGGCACGCTCACGCCCATCCCAGCGCCGACCTGCCGGGGACCAGCAATCCTTCTGCCTCCGGCAGTCCTTGCAAGTAGCTGGAACCACAGGTGTACACTACCACGCCTGGCTAAGTTTTGATTTATTGTAGAGACGAAGTCTCGCCAAGTTGCCCGGGCTGAACTTGAACCCATGGGCTCAGGCAATCCACTCGCCTCGGCCTCCGAAAGTGCTGGGATTACAGGCTGAGCCACCAGGCCCGACCAGGGTGGGGTTTTAATAAGCTCCATAGTGATTTGATGTACAGCCCTAGCTAACCATCATTAATGTGATCTGTTACTATCCCGAGTCTGTGAATGGAAATATTGAGACTCAGCATTGCCCTGTGACCTCCCCAAGCTCACCAAGTCCCAGGGTCCTGGGCCAGGGACTTCTGAACCTCATTGTCACCCCTCTTCCCCTTTCCCCTTGGGGAGGCTCACTGCTGCTGGTCACACCACAGCTGTCCACCCAGAAGGAACTGGAGCTAGCCCAAACATGACCAGTTGTCACTGGGGGACTCTGGTCTCTTGTTACAATTAGGAACAAAAGCTGTGCTTCTAAACTTTGGCAGAATACTAGCATGTTGGGTTGCAGCGCGGGAAGATCGTGCTAAGCTTGACCGTTCTCAGGGAAGGGAGGCCGTGCCAGGGAGCGTTCTCACGCATCCCCTCTGTCGTCCTCTCAGCCGATGGGCACCCATGGCCGACGACTCATGGGGCGATAGCCTCAGGTCTCTGTCCTCATCGTTCAGACGAGGTGCGTGGATGTTTCATCCATGGGGGGCGATGGTGGGACAATAGCAGCGTGGTTCTCCCACATAACCCGTGTCTTGCGGCAGGCAGAGGTAGGGTGAAGCTGGGCTGAGAGGCACGGCCCCAGGCGCGGGGGCCGTTCCGCCACCATCTCACCCCTGTGTCCGTCCCCTGCAGCAGAGCCAGCCCAGCCTCCTCCTGCATCCGGCAGCGCGAACTCTGACGACGCCATCCGCTCCATCCTGCAGCAGGCCCGCCGGGAAATGGAGGCCCAGCAGGCCGCCCTCGACCCTGCCTTAAAGCAAGCCCCACTGTCCCAGACCGACATCGCCATCCTGACCCCCAAGCTGCTGTCCGCCTCGCCCCTGTCGACCGTCTCCAGCTACTCTCCTCTCGCCATCTCCCTGAAGAAGCCCCCCGCCGCTCCTGAGACCAGCACCTCTGCTCTGCCAAACCCCCCGGCCCTCAAGAAGGAGGCACAGGAGGCCCCCGGGCTGGACCCCCAGGGAGCGGCCGATTCTGCACAAGGGGTTCTGAGACACGTGAAGAACGAGATGGGCCGCTGGAAAGACCACTGGTGGAGCACGGTCCCGCCGGAGAGAAGAAACGCCGCCCCTTCTGAAGAAGTGAAGAGTGAAGAGACCAGCAGCGGGAAAGAGAAGGGCGGCGGCGGCGGCGGCCCGCCACGGGCCGAGCGCAGCCAGCCCCAGGGCCCCTCGTCGTCCGAGTACTGGAAGGAGTGGCCCAACGCCGAGTCGCCGTACTCCCAGAGCTCGGAGCTGAGCCTGACGGGAGCCAGCCGCAGCGAGACGCCCCAGAACAGCCCTCTGCCTCCCTCCCCGATTGTGCCCGTGTCCAAGCCCACCAAGCCCTCCGTGCCCCCGCTGACCCCCGAGCAGTACGAGGTCTACATGTACCAGGAGGTCGACACCATCGAGCTCACCCGGCAGGTGAAGGAGAAGCTGGCCAAGAACGGCATCTGCCAAAGGATCTTCGGGGAGAAGGTAAGGGGTCGGTCTGGAGGCTTGGCTTCTCCTGTCTCTCCACGGCTTAGGACCAAAGGTCTGTCCCGGGGGGTGCGGCCGTCGCCCATCTTATTCAGCCCAAGAGTGAAAAGGAGCATCCACTCCCAAACCTCCAGGGAGGCCAGTCAGAGAATGTCCCACCCCAACCCCATCTGCTGGACCCCTGTTATAGCCAGGCTCCGGGCTCATCCTCTCGCCCGCGTGCTGCCCTTTTGACCACTCACTTATCCTGGAAGGTAGATGGCCAAATCTCCACGTGACAGGTAAGGATGCCAAGTCCAGCCTCTGCTGCCAGGTGGAGCCAGAAGGCACCTCTGAGGACTGTTTGGGCCCCAGAGTTCTGATCTGATCACACAAGAACGACCCGCATGTAGAGAGCCAAAAGGAGCTTACTAGAAAAAGCCACATAGAGCATAATTGTGCTTTTCTGTAACCAACCCGGAGGATGTCGTCCGGCCAGAGAGGTGAGGCGACCTGCCCGGGAACACAGCTTCCTGCCCTGGCTCAGGAAAGTGAATGGGTCATCAGTGAGCTCCCAGACCTTTTCGCTCTTGGCGCTTTCCTGGATAACGGGGGTTAACTAAGCCCGTGAAATCTAAAATAAGTATAGTGCCCCAGCGTCGCTTCAAGTCACGGATTGCCGCGCACAATGAGAAGCACCCTGCTCCTCTAGGAGGCCCCTTCCCGCGGGGGCACATGTCCAGATCGGCAGCGGCTTCCCAGGGGCCCTGTGGAGCGCGTCCTCCCCTGCCCCGCGCCGTCCTGCCTCCGGTTCAGTGTTGGCGGCAGGCTGTGCTGTGAGTCTTTGTGGGATCCGATGGTGAACTCTTTGTCCTGGTTTTGCAAAAGGTGATGGGGGTGAGTAGAAATGAGGATGAGAATTTAAAGTCCCTTGAAATTTCTAGTTCAGTGTTGTAAAAATATCATTTGAGAACATTTAAATAGACATTTGTGCTCATGCCTTAAATTTAGCAGAGACTTAATAGCATTGAACTTGTTTGGCCCATGAGTGCAGTTTATTCTGGAACTTGAGAACTTTTCAAAAGAGTGATCGGATGCAGCCCCTAAATATCTCTGGGCTGCATCTGTGTCCTGTGGGGGGTGTTTGTGCCTATACATATGTATGGCCATATGGGAGCACAAGAAAACTCGGGTGTGTACATGCAACTTGTCGATCGTCCGCAGCTGAATGTCACTCCCAGACCGGCTCCCCCGTCCCCACTAGCTCACCTCTGGGCCCCCACCTTTGAGCAGGATGAGATCAGAGAGAGTGAACCTTTCTACATGCCATCCTGGCTCGGTGTCAGTAAAGGACGATGGCTTCGCGTGGCCCACCAGCACCCACAGCTCCTGCCCTGGAGGGGTTCTTGGCCCAGCATTTCAGCCTTTCCTGGTGCCACCAAGCAGAGAACAAGGTGCTTTCAAATGCTTCCTCCTGGCATCGTCAGGGTGATAGCCCTCTAGCTTTGGCAGGATTGAGACCCTGGGGCGAGAGCACCCCTCCCTTTCCCAACCTGCTCCTCCCTGGGAGCGGAAAGCTGTGACTATAGCCGTGGCTCGCCTAAGACTGCCCCTGTGCCAGTCCTGACTTGAAAAGCTTATTTCCCTAGCCCAAGCTGTCACGGGCCACCAGGCTGTGGTTCTGTGCTCAGGAGCAGCCCTAGGTGCGTCCTCGTGTGTTGTCATCCCTGCCGTGCCTCCCCACAGCCGAGCGTGTTGCACAAAGGCGTCCTGTGGCATCTCGCTAATGTCTGGGCACTGACGGTTGCGTGTGTCTTTGGTGCCACTCCAGGTTCTGGGTCTGTCCCAGGGCAGCGTCAGCGACATGCTATCCCGGCCGAAGCCATGGAGCAAGTTGACCCAGAAAGGCCGAGAACCCTTCATCCGGATGCAGCTCTGGCTGAACGGCGAGCTGGGCCAGGGGGTCCTGCCTGTCCAGGGGCAGCAGCAAGGGCCAGGTAACGGCGGCCCCGCCTCGGGAGCGGGTTTGGGGAAGGAAGGGTCTGTGGGGGCGGGGCTGTGCAGGGAGGGAGGAGGCTGCGTGCTCAGGGAGGCAGCGTGAGCTGCCCCTTCTTCCACAACCTGTTGCCGTGAGGCCGAGCTTCGTTTTTAGGAGGGAAGATTGTGCCTGATTTCATAAGCAGCAGAAAATGAGTTGCCAATTAAGAAAATGCTGTTTATACGTAAATATAGGTAAAAGTCAAGTAGCTAAATCAGGGAATCAGGAAGGAAAATCACCCAAAGGCTCAGGAGTGGGAGCTCTCCCAGGTGATAGCTTCCACCTGCCCCAGACAGGGCCTGGCCTTGTAGCAGGTGCCCAGACTGAGTGCCCCCGTGCCGTCCCTTCCTGTGAGGAGGGGCAGACCTCTCTTGGGCCTTTGTGGCTCTGTCCCTTCGGATGCTGTGTTCCATTAGGAAGCTTTAAGCCCTGGGCCTGGTTCCCCCGTTTAATTGTAACCCTCTTTCTTCCTCAGTCCTCCACTCTGTGACATCACTACAGGACTCCCTGCAGCAGGGCTGTGTGAGCTCAGGTAACTAGCCCATTTCTGTTGGTTTTGCGTAAAACGTTAGCTGTCTTTATGTTTCCCCGCCCTGTGGTCTGCCCTGGTTCTGGATTTGGTGAGCTGAAAACATGGTATCCTGGCAGCCAACTGAGTCCCTCTCGGTCTCATTTCTAACAGAGAACAAGCCAACCACCACATGCAGGGACTCCTCTAAGATTGTTCATTCACCGTGGTCCTTCCTCTTTGTTGGCCTCCTGGTTTGGGGGGCAGAGTCTTGTGTTCAGGTTCTGTACTCGGGAACTTACAGTTTAATAGGAAGGGACAAGATACAGGCACACGTTGCTCTCGCAGTGGGTTGTGTCAGAGTGACATCTCATCCCTCTGGAAGACCTCGGGCTGCCTCCATGCAAGAGGATGAGGAAGCTAGGAGGCTGAGGAGGAGGATGAGCCAGGTAGCAGGAAGGAAATGGCCGAGAAGCGCCTGGGGGCAGCTCGGATGCAAATGGAGGGAGAGTTGGAGCCCGCAGGAGAGGACCAAGGTGAGACGTGGAGCCTGGGACAGGTGGTGGAGGGCGGCAGCTACAGACTGAAAAGCTTGGGCCACTTCCTGTCTGTATTTGAGAGCCCTGAGGCCTCTCACTGGACTTGTTCTCCTCCATGAGCCTCCGGACCGAGGTGCCTGGACTCAGCTGGCCCACGGCCATTGCTCCTGGGCTTCCTCCGTGTCCTCCCGCCTGTTCCTCGTATGCCGAGCGCATAATGGTGTGAGCTTCTCGCCCAGCTTTCAGGAGCAGCCTGCATCATGAGCCAGTCCTCTCTCTTCCTTTCTGTATTTTTCTAAACATGTTGATTAGTCTCCATATCCCATTGATTCATTAAGAACACAAACAAAGCTAAGTGAGGAGCACAAAGCCCGCCAGCTTGCTAGACTCTCTGCGAGGGGAACATGTGTAGCGAGGGAACAGCTGGTTGGCAGCGGCTGCTGCTGCTGCAGGATCCCAAACCCACGCACAGATGCAGCCAGCGCTCGGTGGCATCTCACTTCCAGTTGAGGGTGTTGTGCGTCTTCGGTTCTGATTTGGTTCCACCCAAAATGGGAGCCGGGGGGCTGTATCTGGACATCTAGATGGGGCAGGCGTCCTTCTGAAGAAAAATCACTTCATTTCTGGGTTGGCCAACGTAATTAGCAAGTACCGGAGGACTAATTCAGCGCTGGCTTGTGTTCAGGATATTTGGGGGGAAATGAGTGTAGCTGTTGTGCTGGAGTTTTGCGGACGTTGGCTTGGAAAATTAGCCTTACCTCCTGTTCTCATGGAAAGTTGGCCTCCTTTGGGCTCCTGAGAGTATTTGCTGCCCCATCAAGACAGAGCCGAACTTGGCAGAATGGGACTAACGTTTTCCAGATCAAAAACCCTTGTTCCGAAGTAGAGCCGGAAGCCTCCCTCGGTGCCAGGCATGTTATGATCGACGCCAAAACCCTCTCTGGGTCCAAACAAATCCTTGAAAAATGGCTTTTTACTTTTTATTGTAGCAGATTATTGCCACTGTGCTGGAACATTCGTACGACAGTCGCATTTCCAACCCGGGAGAAACACACTGGGCTCCTAAGAGGAATGTAAATGATATTTGTAAAATTTCAAGTTACTTTATAGAATAAAGTCATTTAAAACTCTGGAGGAGTCTGCAGATTAGAAGAAGAAGAGAAAAAGGAAGCGAGCCCCAGACAGAAGGAGCAGGGTAGAACTCGCAGGTGGTTTTGCGAGGAGGTAGCTGATGGTCGCCCTCTGTGTCATTCCAGCAAGAGGAAAACCAGCAGCCGAAGCCATGATCACAGCAACTATGGAGAAAAGTGGAAATGTAGTTTCTACGTGGCAGGAAAATTAAGAAAACAAAGAACTTCGTACATCATGAGGCTACCAAAATGCTAAGCAAAAAATGTTTATCTGAACCAGGAAGACTAGAAAATGCTTGTTAGCAGGGAAAGAGATTGTCATGTGGTGGCAAGATTGTGAGTGGTTGTTTTCTTGTTTGAAATGTCTTTACTAGCAGAGGTTATCTTTTCAAGCGAGTTTCTAAAAATTAAAGTAGCTGTGCTTGCAGATTAAATTAGGAAAATTGAATTATAATTATGGTTGTTAGTAAATCCTTGGCATGAATGCCTATAGGAGAGTTTAGAATCTTCTTGACAGTGCCTCTGAGGAGGCTTTCGACCCTGCTCCCCCAAAGGCTGGAGACTGAGCTCTCTGGTCCTAAGATTGCCACAGGGTTCTGATTCCCTGCTCTCACAATGGCTACCACGGAATCCTTCTAAGAGGCCCCTAGACCCAGAAAGATGCTCTGTTCTTGTTGGGAGCTCCACTGGTTCCCTGCCTGCGGCAGCTCAGCAGAGTAAAACCGGATGTCTGCAGGAAGATCCTTGCCAGCCCAGCTTGGTGTCTTCTTGAATAATGGTGAGAAGCACTTAGGACCTGAGAGTCCAGGCCTCTGAGCTGGCCTGATGACTGGTTTTCCCTCCCAGAGGTGCCAAGATTATGAAAGACTTTCCTTCTGTCCACTCGGCCAGTCATGGTCCTCAGCGGGGGCTACATGCTCACAGCAGAGATGGCGGAGGCCAGGCAGGATGACCCTGTGCTTGGTTGGTTACTGTGGTGATCAGGTCGTCCCGTGCTAGCGTAGCCTCACCCACCTGCACAGCAAGCTGCTGACCCGGGAACCTGGTTCCCTCGCTGAAGAATTCCTGTGGCCTCTTTTTGCCCGCCTCTGTTGTCCATCGGTGTGTCCACTTTCCTTAGTGATCGGTATGTCACACTACTGGTTAGTTTTACACAAGGAGCTGAAGTTTCAACTGCGTCATATCCTTTTCCTCTTGATGGATACAGCTGTTTCTGAATGCGCCTCTGAGCATCTTGAGTGTTGGACTGACGTCCTTGGGCATAGAGGGAATTTGGTGCCATTTTTAACCACCGGTGTCATGAGTTACCTGTGGCCTTTTCTTAGAAGCTGTTGAGGCCTCGGTAAAGAGTAAGGTGAGCGGCAGGTCCCATGCCAGTCATAGAAGTAATTTTTTTCTTAAGAAAGGGGTTTTTTAAAGGACAGATTTCAGATCAGTTACCTGGTGAGAGATTTCCTGATGAATCCTAATTTTCCACCAGCCTTTTTGTGTTGGCGTCTTCAGGATCATCTTTGATCTAATATGGAAAACTCCATTTGAAGACACAGTTGCAGATGGTCCCTGGTGCCTGATTCTGAGCCTCCCTTTTGTTTGTCTGTCATTTCAGGCTTCATCCCTCATTCCTAACCTCACTGCTTAGTGACAGCAGTGCCTCTGGAGGAACAGGGAGGGGCCCCTTAAGGTGTGTATCCTCCAGTGTGGCCTGCTTACCACGTCGCACTTATTTTTAAAGGGAAGCACGCCTTGGGCTATAATAAAGGTGTGTGTGTGTGTACTTACGCAGGTACACAGGCAGGAGACAGATATGACCTAGTGAGCCATTGTATCATTTATTTTTTTCTTGTTCATTCCTTAAGACTCGTTTCATCTTCGCAATTCCTTGGGGTGATTAATCTGTTTGCCCCTAGGGAGGGAAGGAGACAAGAGACAACTCAAGAAGGAGGAGAGGAAAAGGGGAAGATAGAGATTATTCTGGCTGCAGCATTAGTCATTATCTTATGGAGAACTAAGGGGGAGGGCTACCTGGTGCCCTATGCTTTGTAACTTTGTAACATGGGGATGTCGCACACTGTGGCTATGGGGCCCTTACTCCTCTGCCCTCACACTGGCTTCAGATGGATTGTGGCTGTCCAAGCAGAAGGATGGCCCAGGGCCCTCGGATCAATGGTAAAATACCTGGTTTTTTCTTAGCGTGTCTGGCAGGAACGGTGGCTTCCGAGTCACCTCTGCCCATGGAGAATTCCACGGCTGCATGCCACTGTGCTCAGCCAGCGAGAGTATCAGCTGCCTCTGTGCAAAGACAGCGGCTGAGGTCTGTCTCCAACGTGGGTGGTCGCGTGTGCGCCCCTCCCTGACACTGAGTTCCCAGGGCTGAGGGCTGTCCTTGGCCTTGCACAGTCAGGAGATCCCGTGGCCATAACTATCCCCACTGCAGACTGGCCCACGCTCCTCTTTAAGGTGCGTCCTGCTCATGGCTCTCGTCTAGTGCCCCCAGAAAATATGTCTGGGGCTCTGGGACTTTAAACCCTGCAATGATTCTGATACAGCGTCCTTGAATGTGCAGTCAGTTCCTGTGTTCACGGCTGAGGGTCAGGGTTGGGGCATTTGGATAGCATGTTACTAGGGAAAGGACGGGCTGCACACACCCCCCAAAAAATTCCATGGCACTGTCTGAAGCAGACAGAACTCTTCATTCAGGGCCTCAGCCTAGACGTTACTTTTTTTTTCTCCCTTTCATTGACATAAATCATTAAAAGTAACTGTCAGTTCTCTTCTAACAGAATTATTGTAACCCTGGTTTGAGTAGCTGAAAGGACTCATACACAGGCAACTTATACATAGCCACCGACAACAGATGAACAGCAAAAACATGGAAAGCCAACATGAACTAGAAAGGGTTCCCTGAGCAGGTGACCCCGGTGTGTCCTCGCTGGGACGTCCGCCTTCCACATACTCCTCGGCCATAAGCAGGATGGCCCATTCGTTCTTTCTCTCTCGGGTGTGGCCTGCGTTAGGACATTTTCACTTGTCTCAAGAGTGACATCCTGAAGACGTTCTTCACTCTAAGGTCAGAAGAGACAGGTTTCTGGATTCAGACACGGCCTGCCCTCCTGGTGGCTGTCATCTGGTGCGTGTGGGCACGGGCTGCAGGGAGGCCCCTGGCCCAGAGAGTGCTGAGAGGAGGACCTGGGCCGTGAAGGGCGAAGGGGTCAGGGAGCAGAACGTTCCAGGTGGAGAACTCTGTGGCTGCACAGGGACGGAGATAGGGAAGAGAGTGGCCTACATGGAGTCTCAGAAAAAGGTGAAAACATTGGGACCTCCTGATTCAGAGGCCTTTGTCCTTTCTTTCAAAGTG